ATGTTGGAGTCTTGCTGGTGTGGAGTCTCTAGAATCTGGTGGTGTCATATTTGTTTTTCTGTTGCTGAGTGTGTTTTTGTATTGTCTCTTTCCCATCTCTTCTTCTAGTGGGTGCAGAAAGAGCCCCTTACTGGTCTGGGGACCAGAGTTCCCTTTTGGTGGGTGCTAGCAAGTCCAATAATCTGGTAGTTCTTCTATTCCTTGTCCTCGTTCTGGTCCCATGGGTGGAGAAGACCAGGAATCTGGGGTGCTTAGCCTCCCACCTCGTCCCCTGGTCCCTTTGCTAGATCCGCTGATTTCCTGGTCTTGTTGGTGGGAGAGAAGACCTGGAGTCTGGGGTGTTTGGCTCCCACCAGGATTGGAAGCTCTGTGCAGTTCCCAGGCAATCCCCAGGCACTGGAACACAGGCCCGGAAGCAGGGCCTGTTGTACCTGGTCCTGCTGGAACAGCTGGTCCCCTGGTTTCTTGGTCTCATTGGTGGGAGAGAAGACCTGGAATCTGGGGTGCTTGGCTCCGCTGGGATTGGAAGCTCTGTGCAGTTCCCAGGAGATCCCCAGGCACTGGAACACAGACCCGGATGCAGGGCCTCTTGTACCTTGTCCCGCCAGAATGGTGGTCCCCTGGTCTCCCTGGATCCGCTGCTTTCCTGGTCTCCCTAGCAGGAATTCTTATGTAATAAAATTGCTTTTTGTTTATTTGTTTTTGTCAACAAGAGTTTCTCTGTAACAGTTCTGGCTATCTGGGAACTCAATTATAGACCCCACTGGCCTCAAATCTAGAGATCCTCCTGCCTCTGTCTCTAGAATGCTGGGATTAAAGGAGTACACCACCACTGCCTGGCTTGATAAATCTTAAGAAAAGCTTAGTATGTTAGGAGAAGAAGCAATTTTGAGACCACTGTTTACTAAAAATGCTATAATTTCCTATTCTACTACAGCTATTTTATGGTTAGAATGTTTGTCCCTTCCCAAAAGTCATGTTCAGATTTAATTACTACTGAACAGTAATAAGAAGAGAGAGAGGAGAACAGGTCTGTGAGGAACTGATGCTGCTACAACAGGTAAGTCTGCCTGTCTCTTGCCCTCTTCACATGGGCTCTGGCCTTCTGCCAAATGCTAGCACCTTGCTATCAAACTTCCCAGCTTCCAGAGCAGTGAGATAATAAATTCCTGTTCATTACAAATTATGTGGTCTCCAGTATTCCGATAGAGTAGGAAAAATAGGCTGGGTCAGTCACCCCCCAACATGGACTTCTTTCATTTCTGGCTGTAAAATGAACTCAAAGTAGATTACTATCCAATCCACATGAAATTAAACACACAGACAAGAGAAGTCCATATGCATGAGAAATTTACCAAACAAAATACTCAGTTAAGATCCATAAAGATGCTGAGGTTTAAAAAGTAGCAGCAGTTATATCAAAATGAAACTCAAACAGGATGGGTGATCAGCTCAGTAACTTCTGTAGCATTCTCTAGGCTCAGGTCTGATCAGTTAGAAACCTCTGTGCAGGCTTTATTATAACAACCTGGCCCCGTTCTGCTTTCTTAGACACCCCCCTCAACTATGTACAAAGCATGTGCATGTAAACTCTTGCACAATGGGAACTCACTCACAGTCTATGTGGGATAGCCTACACACCCAAAGTATACAAATATTAATGATGCAAAGAACCACCCAGAGGAAGTATCCAGAGAACTACGGGGTAATAACAAGAGCTGTGACAAAAGCCATCTATAGCTACCTCACAAGTACCAACTTACCTGCAAACCACTTACCTTCAGAAAATCTAGTTGAAAAGACCAAAAATAAAAAAGGAAAGAATATGACTTAAATATTTTCCTAAGGAACCTAAAAATTACAGATTATCTTGTAAGATACGAACAAAGAGATTTATTAGCTGGAGTACTAATGAGGACATTCACTTTGAAGCCGTGGAATAGAACCTCTGTCTGTAATCTAGCTCCAAATTCAACTACTGGGATGGATTAAATAGCTTCAACTGATCCCCATAAGTAAATCCAAAGTCAAGATTTAAAGCTGTTTAATATCACTAATATTCTCCGGAAATTTCCCATTTGTCACTGAGGCTTCTTGAGCACTTTTGGGAGACAGTCCCTTGTGATCAAGAAAGCACTGGCAGGGGAAGGAAATAAAATTACCAAAGCAACACAGCACTAATGGCTACACTTAAAAGCATTTTTCAATCTCCTTTGTGCGACACTCTGTACTGGCTTTCAAGCGACTGTGAAGCTGCTGAACTTCCAGACTCTGCAGCAGGAAGAGCCTAGGGAAGGCTTCTAACAAATTCATACCCCGTGCATATGAGAGACAGCATCCTGCATTAGAGGCAGGTCTGTGTTCTGAACAGATTCAGTCACCTCACTTTCTTTCCCCTTTATTACCTCTCAGAACTGCTAAGGGAACCAGCATGTCTGTCACCATAGACCCTCTACATTTTACAACAGTGGACTTGAAGGTAGTAATTCCATGCCCAGCTAGCCTTCATGCAATGATCGTTTTGTTCAGATTGTCATCATATAAGTAAAATGACTTTATTACAGAGACAATGGTATAAAATAACTACATGCATATTACACATTTGATAGCTTGCACTGCACTTCTCCCGTGTTCTATCTAATTCAGATCTCATGGGCCACTCTCTGGAGCGTTACTATTAGCTCATTTTACAAAAGAGGAGACTACTCAGGGATGTGCAGTGGCTTCTTCGCCCTGCTGTGAGTGCTGTAAGTGGTGGGGACAGGATTTAAGCTTTACCTGTTTGCTCAAAAGCTCTTATACTCTCACTTATGAAATACTACCTTTTCTCTTTTTCAAAAAAGTGCTGGGGTACAGAAGCTCTGGCTGGCCTCAAACCTGTGATGCTCCTGCCTCAACCTCTTGAGTACTGCAGGGTTAAGCACCTCACTTTGAAAAAATGTCTGATTTCTAAACACTTAAGAGGGACCTTAAACTTTCACATAGACCTACTAAGTTATTTATATAATTCTCAACACCGACCTGAATTTCCCTCATTCTGTCCTCCACTTCCAAGGTCTTTCTCTACTCTTAGCTTCTTACTCTCTTCTAAAAGTGTTTATTAGGTAAAGGTAAGGTAACTATAAATACGCAAGTATACTTGCTACATTTTAAGTCATAATGTCAAAAGCATACTGATAAAACATACAGGACAACATTATGTATCTAACTTCAAAGGTTAATTCACATAGATTCAAAACACAGCAAAGTATGTAAACATTTTCTGAATTTTGTTTATATGGAATATTAAAACACCAATTCAAAGTTGTAATATTTCAAAATAACTTGCTACTTATTTTGTCTTGTGAAGAACTGAAGGGGAAAGAAACTATACCTACATTTCAGGTCTGCCACAATGAAAGATTCAGTCATATAAATACAGGGGCAGTTTCCTGTGAAGTGAAAAATACAAGCAAGCTTGTACAAGTGTCTCTGCGCTGGCACAGGATTGGGCTGCAGTTTGGCGCCATCTGGTGGCAACTGTCTATCATAGTGTTACTATCCATGGATCAATCTAAAATCCCTGTGGTTGAACAGAACACCTAGGTCCAATCCATCAATTTTCTGGCTAGGTGTTATGATGGTTAGTTTTAATTGTTGACTCTTTGACAAAGCCTAATCCCTTGGGAAGAGTCTGCAGGAGACGCTGTCTAGATTAGGTTGGCCAGTGTGGGGCACTGTTCTGATTGCCTTCATTGATGTGGTGAAACCCAGGGATGGCTGCTGCCTGTTTTCCTACACAACTTTGCCATCCAACCTATACTGTTTTCAGGGAGGGAGTCAACACATCTAAACTTGCTATGATAGGATGTGTTTTAAAGGATTCTCTTTGGTTTTGTTTTTGTTTTTAGATGGACAACTGAAAAATCAGGAAACCATCACAATAATTAAACATAGCAAAGTATATGCAGTAATGTGGATTGATTAGGCATAACCATGCACGGTACTATAAAATGATGCCATAAGTTTTAAGGTGAACAAAAGCCTACAAAATACGTTAACAGAAAAGAACTGAGCCACAAAACTAAATAGTACTTATAAAAAGAGATCTACACTAATTCTCTCTTCTCATGTGCAGACATTTCTCTTGGTGAGGACCTTGAATTCACTAACTACTCCATTTGTAAATCCCACAGATACTTCCAATGAAAATAAATTCATCATGTGTTTCTATTTAAAGCCTTACATTTTTCTAATGTTCTAAAACTTTTAGTTGTACTCTTAGCTTCTTCTTATCCCTTAACCCACCAGTTCTTGCTGGGTCCACTTCATAAACAATTGGAAGGGGTGATTCTACGGCTGGTAAAGTGTTTGCCTTGGATGCATGAGGACATGAGGGGAAGGATGGGAAGGACCAAGGGGGGGGGAGAGGATGCATGAGGACATGAGGGAAAGGATGGAAGGACCAAGCGAAGAGGGAGGAGAGGATGGGAGGCGTGAGTTAATAGATGATGAAAACTACTGCCAATGAAATAAGTAGCATCTACTTAATATTTTTTTTAACTATTATTATTTTACATCCCGACCACCACCCCCCTTCCCAGTTACTCTTTTGATGCCATCAACTACTCTAGGAACCTATAATGCAACCATTCAAAAGTAACTGTCTAAATAAAAATATTCTTCAACGTTGTCTAATATAACATCTTTCAGTTTTCACAAGTATCCAAGAGAATTGCTGTCTTAGTATCTTCTAAATATTCTTATTCTTTTTTTTTTTTTTTTTTTTTTTTTGGTCTGAACTGAGTTAACAGGAAACAGGCACATTATCAGAGTAAAAGACCCAAAGTATACGTTCTGTTGTAATTAGTTACCAATGATTTAAAAATTTTAATTCTCATTTATATTTACAACTATTAAAAGAGACATCTTACAAATGGCATTTAATTTCAATGAATTTTTTTATAATCTCCGAACAAAGAAAAATATATTCTAACTTGCTCAATCACTTTTTTTTTTACCTGTTTTCTCGTTCATACATTTCCCTAGAGGCACTTCGAAGCTGATCAATTTCCAGATTAGTTTTCAATCTGATTTGTTCCAGTTCATCATGTAGTTTATTTTCATATTCTGTTTTATAATGGTCTCTGCAAAAATAAAATAGTCATGGTTTTCCTTCATGGAAAAAATAGACTTATTTTCCAGATAAGATTTTAGAATCTTATATGAAGTATGCTTTTATAACATGTTTAGAAAACTTAGCCATTTTAGATGTTTTAGAATTCCTAAGACACCATTTCAAAGCACCAGCCTATTAACATATCACTACTGTTCCACGGGCTTCATCAATTACTACGAAAGATATTAGACTTGGGTTGGGCACTCTTCTTCAACATCCTTTTCAATGCACAGGGCTGAGACCTGAAGACTGATGTACACAGATGTTGCATTTGAGACATAAAGAATACAAATGTAATACCAAGATTGTTCTGACTTTATAACACATTTCCTTCTCAGCACAGCAAACAGTCACACATGAAAATTTTTTAAGGGAAAGTTAAAGTATTATATAGGGCATTAGTAGCAAGCACAGCACAAACCAATAAAAATAAACAGGCTGGGGGAAGTCAGAAATGTTGAACTGTTAAAGGCAAAATTTTAACTTACTGTTTTCCTTTACTCTGAAGTGTATGGATGTTTTCCTGCACATGCACAGCATATGCATGCAGTACTCATGAAGACCACAGAATGTCCCGGAGACTGGGCTTTCAGATGGTGCCACCTCCATGTGTGAGCCACAATGAGGGTGCTGGAAACCGAACCCAGGTTCTCTGGAAGAGCAGCCACAGCTCTGTACCAGGCTTTTTCTTTTTGGGTCACCAGCCAGTTCCCAAATTGTGACACAGAGGCTATAAGGGATGCTCAGCCTTAGCTTAGCTTATTTACCCGTGGCTCCCAGGCCTTTTACCTCCCAGTTTTCTGCATCTCCCTTTTACTGCTTCTCCTGCCTGCCTAGTGGATGCCCGGCTTCTGGCCCCCAGTGTCTCCCTTCTCTCTCCCTCATTCTCTTCTCCTCTGCATCTTTTTCAGCCTAGATTTCTCCTGTTTATTCTCTCTGCCTGCCAGCTCTGCCTATCCTTTCTCTGACTAACTACTGGCTGTTCAGCTCTTTATTAGACGAATCAGGTGCCTCAGGCAGGCAACACTTTTTTTTTTTTTTTTTTGGTTTTTTGAGACAGGGTTTCTCGGTGGCTTTGGAGGCTGTCCTGGAACTAGTTCTTGTAGACCAGGCGGGTCTTGAACTCACAGAGATCTGTCTGCCTCTGCCTCCCAGAGTGCTGGGATTAAAGGCATGTGCCACCACCTGGCTACAACACATCTTTACACAATTAAGCAAATGCAGTATAAACAAATCTATTTTTACATCATTAAATAAATGCAGCACAAACAAAATGCCACACACCATACATAGTTAAAAGTAATATTCTGCAACATAAACAAATGTAACACGTCTTTACCTAGTTAAAATTATTCCCCAACAATGCTCTTAACTTCTGAGTCATCTCTCCAACACCAAATTTTAACTTTTTTTAGTTTTTGGCTTGCTGATAAATAAAAATAGCCCAAGGATTATGAAGGCTATTAGTATAAAGCAACTCTAGAGCATATACATATTTAGAAGAGAGAAGGTATACTTGAGATGCAGGTAGTCTGAGCCTAAGGTCTGGGATTTGAATACCATATGATTAGTAAGTACCTTGTGACTCATATTTGTCAGAGAAATCCCAAGTATACTTAGATTTCCTTCAAAATGGTATTTCAATAGGTAGTTTCAGACTTCCCAAAACTATTAATAAGTAATCTTAGCCACAGGGTTATGGAACATTTTTCTCTAATGTTCTTAGAACTAAACCCTAGTCCTTTCCACCACAAACAGGATATTAAAAATATCGTTAAAAAGTAAGTTATTGCTGTCAGTGTGACTCAGCAGGTAAAGGCACTTACTGCACAGGGTAACAACTCAGTATATAAGGGGTGAAGATAAAAGTGGGGTATTTGGAATGAGTGGGGGGAGAGACAACAGAGTAACGGGCACTGGGGAATATGAGCACAGCACACGACGTACACATAAGAGAATACTAAGACAGCCCATAATTGTTATAATAAATACGAGCTAATTAATTTTTTTAACTAAAGGAAGAAAACCAGGCCGTTGTGGTTCCTGGAAAACCACAGTATCACTAAAAGATCAACTAGAAAAGAAAAGCTAGGAAGGAGACGAAATGAAAGGGACCTGTAGACTGGGTTCCCATCCACCCGCCAAGGGCTCATTACAAGAGAAGCATGAGTCTTGCCTGGATGACACGTATTTCTCATACATCTCTTCTCTAGCCTTTTTGGTCTCCTCCAGTTGCACCTGCAGCCTCTCCAGGCGATCCTCTTCGTGGGCACAGCGGACACTTAGCTCCATGTTTTGGCGATTGAGGTACTCTTTATCCTTCTGCAGGAGGGTGACTGTCTGCTGCAAGGTGGCTACCTACGGAAATTCAGAGACATGTTCAGAGGGAGGCTGACTCTCCCTATGCATAGCACATATCCCCTTTAAAGAGTGATCAACTTAGCCTTGTTTATACAAAATTGCCCTCTAAGTCTCTCTCTTTTCCAATAGCTACATAAAAATGAGAAAAATAAAATTTCTCAAATGATTTTATCCTGGGCTATTTGTGTGTTAATATATAATAAACATGAGTGAGTCGACTTGGGATCTTACCTCTTTTGATAATTCACTTCTTTCTTTAGCCTGAGCTATGTGAGAAGCTTCAAGGATTTCATGTTTTCTTCTAACCTCGAACACTTCCTGTTCAAGAGTGTCACGCTCACTAGGAAAATAAAATCGAATCCACATGTAAATATGGAAATCTCTTTCACTGTTGAAAGGGGTTGAGTGGCAAGAGACTGACCAGAACAGTGGGGCTTTTGTGTAACTATTTTTTAAATTCAGAAGGTTCAAGAGCTTGTTCAGATGAATAACTATGAACATTCGTGTTAGTGTCACATAAACACATGAAGTACCCTAAGCAGTAAATGCCACAATTCTTTCTAAGGTACAATTTCATCCCCATTTTTTTAGTTGTTGCTGCCTTTTAAGCTATGCTCAGCCATCCTATTCAGCAAGTGCAACCTTGCTGCCACCAGCAGTGGATACTTGAAAGAAAGAAGGAATTCGGTTTGTTCAGGCACCGACTCTTTCAAAGCTACTAAGGAAACTTACTTAAATCTCTGTCCCTCTGGAGAACTCAGGATTCAAAGGCTGAGGGAGAATCCTGCTTCCCACAGAGGCTGAATAGCAAGCAGCTCACCTCTTCAAGTCTCCCAAGAAGTCCTCGTGCTTTTTCTTGGCCCTGCTTAGAAACCCTTCTCCACCTGGCTACTCCCTACAAATTCCTATCAGCTAGTTGCTGACCCAGCCTCCAGCCTGCAGGTGATGTTTATTTAATCAGACACATCTTTGCATCATTAAACAGATGTAACACCTTAGAATGATATTCTACCCCGCCCCCACTATCTTACAGTTTTTTGCTGATGCTATTGTTGTTTCAGACATGGTCTCACTTAGCCCGAACTAGCCAAGAACTCACAGCAATTCTTCTCCTGTCTTCTGTCTTGGTTTGCCCATGCTGTGATTACAAGCATGAACCATCTCAGAGGCCTTCAATCTTACTTTGAACTGAACGCTTTTAAATTGAAGAACTTAAACATAGCTTCAGGGTTTATTGGGGTCAAATATTCATCATAGTTTCTAACTCATATTACACAGTAGTACATAGGCAGGCATTCGGGGCACTATTTCACTCACACATTGCTTATGATTAAGGTAAATTTCTCCTTCATACTAGCCCTATCCCAGAACAGTGAAACTAAGAACTGACCCAAAGCAGCATCCTTAAAACTGAGCCGAGAAATGCTGTTGCTCTTAACTCCTCCCCGCAGTAGGAACGGCCCTGGGAGTCACTCCACAGACTCGGGAACTGGCACAGGAGAGTTGCTCTCTTCCCACCTGCTTTCCAGTATGCCACACGGATGAAAGATACAGCCTGTTCTCTGACATACCTCGCCTGAGGCTGCTGATTCATTGATGATTCAGATTAAATACGATTAATGAGGCTATAAAGCAGCCATCCTGACATACACTAAACATACACCAAAACAAAACACAAGACAAAATTTAGCTTTTTGCAGGAGTTTATTGAATAAAGTTCTCATAGATTTCAAGATCAAATAATATTAGGAAATATGATAAATACTATTACTACCACATACCAGTCAAGGTGGGAATAAAAATACCAATATATGTGCTAAATGCTTATAAATTCACTTACAACCTTCTATCATTGACTGACTACTGAACTTCAAGAATTTTAGCTGTAGCAGATATAGGCAATAAACAAGTAAGATAAATATGTCCTATCTGCAAAGATACATACTATAAAATGCTGGCAATAGTCCTTTGGTTAATGTTTTGTTGTTGTTGTTGTATTTGTTTTTGTTTTATGTTTCGAGATTGTTTCTCTGTGTAGTCCTGGTTATCCATGAACTCAATTCTGTAGATCAGGCTAGCCTTAAACTCAGAGAAGTGTCTGCCTCTGTCTTCTGAGTAATGCGATAAAGTTGTGAGCTACCTCTACCTGGTCTCCTTTGGTTAATCTTATCCGACAACACTCAGATTTAAGTGAGCTTTACCAAGGGACACATTAGAGAAGCTCATTCAATACAGAACAATAGAGAAGTCCCTTCCAATTAAAGGAAGATTTTCCCAGTTACACAGCAGCAATATACTTTGAAAATGTTTTTAGAAGTGCTGTTTCTAAAGAGTGAAACCCTTTTGTTGGAAAAGAAACAGCTTTAAAAAAAAATCACTTCAGAAAATTTAAACACTTAAATTGACATTACATGAAATTCAGCAAATAACACTTAGCAAATATTCACACAAGGCATTTTACAGGGGTCCTATTTTCTCTTATGTCTTAAAGGGTGGTAGCAACTTCTACATATACTAAAAACCACAGCTGATGCCCACCAAGCTGTACATTTTTACACAATAAACAAGGAAATGGAGAAATAAGTATGTGGGTGATACAAATTCAGGTGACTGTGGTGCACACTAAAAGTGGAAATCCCTATGGCCACCTTACCTCTTGACTTTGTCGTAGTTCTCTTGACGGTAATCGCCTTGCTGAATCAACTGCTTGGTGTCTGCCAATTCCAAGGCCAAACGCTGACATCGGATTTGAAGTTCAGAGCTGTTTTTTCGATCTTGCTCATATGTCTATAAATCAAAGGAAGAATTACACATTTCAAAGTGAATATAGTAAACCAAATTATTTTGTATTGAATTTTTCTGCTATGAACATGTTCAAATTACTTATAATAATTACTCAAAGTCAGGTCATCTTGGATTCACAAGACTATTTGTAAATTAAATGCAAAACTATTAAATTATTTCTATGGACTGGTTTTGGCTAGATACTGTACATACAAAGATGATTAACACAGCTTATTCCCTCTTGAAAACATAAAATACAACACTGACATAGCAGGCTCCAAATTCTATCAAGAGCTGTTTGAAAGATATAATTGTGGGAACCTGAAAACAGTGCTTTCCTTTGGTTGAACATTATGGCCAGCTACACTGGGGTTCTTTGTGAGAGTGGAATGCTACTGAGCTCATTATAGGATTTAGCTGAGGATTCCCTGATACTTCCCAGGGATCATCCTGTACATCATTTAATACCTATATACTAAAAGAAGATTCCATTCTGCCAAAGAATGCTTCATCCTTCAAAACACTATTAATCATATGACTGTCTTGGAAGAAGGTATAGTTCTGTGATTCAGGAATGTTAAGTTACAGATTTTAGTTTATAAAAGTGAGTAACTTAAAATATGACACTTGTCTAAGCATTAGTGTTTACCTCATGGAATTCTGGTAAAGATTATATCAAATAATACATATAAAATGCTTACAAAATTCACAGCACATAATGAATACTCATTAATTATAAATTAATATGTTTATATTACTTCCTCCTGGCTTTGACTTCCTGAAGGGTCACAGACAAATCTGTAGTTTACTAACTACAAAAAGACTATGACATAGTCCAGAGGAGTATAAACATGAACATTTCAAGGATGGGCAAAAGATAACAAGTCCGAAGAAGCTAAAGGAATAGCAAAGCAGCAAAGGGTCAGCAGCTATGTGCGTCAGAAACAACAGGAAAGGCCACTCTAAGGAGATGAAGCAGTCAAGTATAGAGCTCCTGAGGAAAAAGCAGCAAAATCCTGTGAGGATTCAACAGTACGGACAGAAGACTGAGAAGTGTGGACTGAAACAAACATATTTGAGTACTTACTATATGCTTGCTTTGTGGTTTTGTTTGTTTGTTTGTTTTGAGGCAGGGTCTCATTATACAGTCCTGATTGGCCTGGAATATGTTACGTAGACCAGACTTGCCTTTCCTTCCCTACTGTTGGGATAAAAGACATGCACCACTATTACTACTACTACGACGACGACTACTACTATTATTTTAACACAGGCTCTCATGTATATCCCTTGAACTCATTATTTAGCAAGGATGAACCTAACTCCTAATGCTCTTGAATCCACTTTCAGAGTACTTGGATTACATGATACCCAGGATTTCCTGCATACAAGGCCAACAATCTGTCAATTGAGCTATATTCCCATCCTATTTTGTAGAATTTATATAAAACAAGGTGGTCTTTTTCTTTTTCTTCTTTTTAGAAGAAACAACAACATTTACTATAGCCACAGTCCAGCCCTTATCCTACTGTTTCATGTTGTTATATTACATACTTCATTGCTGTCCTGGCTAGTTTTTATGTCAAACTAGAGTCATTTGAGAGGAGGAAACTCAGTTGAGGAAATGGCTCCACAAGACTGGGTTGTGGCAAGCCTTTAGACATTTTCTTTAAGTGATTGATGCTGGAGGGCCATGGGGAGCAAGCTAGGAAGCAGCACCTTCCATGGCCTCTACATCAGCTCCTGCCTCTAGGTTCCTGACCTGTGTCAGTTACTGCCCTAACTTCCTTCAATGACGAACAGTGACGTGGAATCATAAGCAAAATTAACCCTTTCCTTCCTAACCTTTGGCCATCCTGTTTTCATCACAGGACAGTAACACTGACTTTCTAGACAGTTCCTAAAGGTATGTGTTTTCTACTCCTTATAGGTTCCCTCCCAATAAAACCAGCAAAAACAAACAAATCAGAGCGGGTGCATGATGGGGGAAGTCCTGTGTATATGTCAATAAAGCACTGTTGGCCAATAGGGAACCAAGATAGATGGGACTAGGAGTTCAGGAGGACTCTGGGAAGGAGAAAAACAAGGAGTCAAGATGTAATGCCATGGGGTAGGAAGCCCGGAAACTTCTTCGGTAAGAGAAATACTTAGATTAACAATTATGGGGTAATTCCTTAAGTCAGAGCTAGCCAGTAAGAAACAAGCAAGGCCAACAGCTTCATAATTAATATAGCCTCCTGTGTGTTTATTTGGGACTGACGCGGCTCTGGAACCAGGCTGGCGGGAAGGCTTCTCTTTATAGGTACAGGTGTGTGTTTATAGGGTTCCTGACAAGAGAACTGTAGGAGTTCTCATCTGAGGATTTTCATTTTCTTTGTGAAATGAAGCACCAAGTGATCTGATAAAAATGAGAGATGGAAAGCTGGAGATGTATAGATAGGGGAGAAGGCCTAAAACAGCTTCCAAGGAAAATGAAAGGACCAGGGGGAAAAAGACGACGCATACAAAGGGCTGTATGGGAGGCTGGTAACCAAGAATTTGAAGTGCCTATTGCCACTGATGTGAGTTCCCCCAGTGAGGCTCAGCTAGACAAACAGAGCTGAGGTGTCTGCCTCACGCTAGTTTGATTAAAAAAAAAATCGAAATTAAAGGCCCTCAACATGAGATGTTGGAGATGGACAAGGTAGTGAAGAGGACGAACATACACTTCAGGACTGATTAAATAAGATGTATTGTGAATTAGAAGCAAAAACCGAGAACTGCAGGTGAGTGTTCAGATGATGTACACGTGTAAAGAAGGAGACACACATGAGAACTGCAGGTGAGTGTTCAGATGATGTACACGTGTAAAGAAGGAGACACACATGAGAACTGAGTGAGTGTTCAGATGATGTACACGTGTAAAGAAGGAGACACACATGAGAACTGCAGGTGAGTGTTCAGATGATGTACACATGTAAAGAAGGAGACACACAAGAGAACTGAGTGAGAGTTCAGATGATGCACACGTGTAAAGAAGGAAACACACATGAGAACTGCAGGTGAGTGTTCATATGATGTACACATGTAAAGAAGGAGACACACACTGAGCAGGACTACGGGTCAGTGATCAGATGATGTACACTGCAAAGAAAGAAGCAGATACTACCCTGAAGGCAGATGTACAAAGTGTAAAAATCCATGGACCTTGAGCTGGGGATGCAGCTCAGGAAAACAGCACATGCCAAGCACATACAAAGCTCTCTATGTTCCACCCATAGGACTGAAAAGCAAGTAAAAACAAAAACAGAGTGGGGGGATACAAGCATAAATGTCTGGGCACATCTGATTATGTCACTGTCATGGAGAACAGTCTGCACATGTGCATACACACACACACACATACACACACACACTTTTTTTTTCAGTATAAATGCCACATGAGCAAACAGTGTTGGGAGCCAGGCGGCCTAGTTTTGGACCAGTATGTGGGTAACTGTCTAACGGGTCTCCAGATGGAGTAATAGCCCATGGGGACAGTCTCACTTGGTAAGAGCCGGTGCACTTAGGGACTGCACAGCCTGTACACATTCTTCTCTCTTACAATGACTGATGGTTCTCATGGCAGTTTTAGTGTAATTTTTGACAATCATATATGAGACAGATATTATCATTTCTGGAAACCCCATTTTTCTCCAGAATTTTCCATAAAATTCATTGGGGGCTGATGCTTCCCAGGTTTCTTGTCAGGGGATGCCAGCTGTCACTTCAGACCCCAGGAGCTGTTCTAAATCAGTGCTGACAGGATCGGAGGCAGATCACCCCTATTTCTGTAAATATGGGCTTGCTTTGAATGTGTTTGTTGTATTGAATGTGTGTGTCTATGTCAATTACCTTTTACTTTTGTAAAGACAGGATGTACGTGGCTTGACATTTGGTCAAGCTAACAAATGGTGTTGTTTTTGGTTTAAAGATGTTTTGATGTAAAAGCTGGGAGAAAACATATTTGACATATTTGTTTTCACCGGAGGTTAAAGTTGGAGGATGGGAAAAACTTGTTAGTATGGAAAAACATGCTTATTTTGATGTTTAAATAAAGATGGCTGGAGCTATTTGGGGCTGGCCACTTGTACGAAACTCATTTGGTGGTCAGACATGAACAAGTAATTTCTTCGTGCTGATGCCCCGTCCCCAGCTAAGGACCTGGGTCCAGGGTGAGGATGGACTGAGGCAGTTCAGTGTAGAAACACATTCTTTATATCAAGACTTTTCAAGCTAAAAATACCCCTTAGATCTATGCCAAAGAGGAGCTAGAAAGATTTGTAACAGACAGAGGTAAGGGATGACTCTACAAAATAGTATCTTCCAGACACAACAGGACGCTTGCACATAGGACATTACAGAGACTGTGGCAGCACCCACAAGGCATGCATCATGGGTTCAAACCACATGGGGTCCCAGCAATGAGACGGGGAAGTGCACATGGGCTCCCACCCCTAACCAAGCAGCTGTCTGCAATTAATAGCCAGTTTTATTCCAATGAAGTCTCACTAGTTCTATTAACCAGACTTCAGGGCAGGCTCCATGCTTAGGAGTAGTTGACCAACAAAAATGAACTCAATGATTTTTTTTTTACTTTTTGTCTCATTTTTCCTGCTTGCGTATATGCATACATATACATATACATTCACATACATACATATACATACATACACAGGTCTTTTGCCTTCTTATTTTAAGGTCCATTTTTGTAGGATTTTTGTGTATGTATGTATTTTTGTTTTAGTTTTTGATGATTTTTTTTAAGGAGAGAGAGAACAAAAGTTGGGTGGGTAGGGAGTTGGGGAGGATCTGAGAGGAACTCGGAAGGAGGAAAATATGAACAATATAATGTATGATTTTTTCAATAAAAATGTTTCAAAGTGTCTTCCCTTAAAGTTGTAACTTGTATACCGTGGGGTAGGTATCTATCTGCATTGTGCACTCTTAGAACTACAGGGAAGAGCTGGCCATGCTGGTACAAT